CCTCAGCACCAGCAGGAGGCGCTATCAGGGTCAGGTGCAAAGTGTGTTGGGCAGAAGTGTCACGGTTCTGGGTCAGTTTGACCCAGTATTTTCAGTTCTCACGTCTTGGTTTGATTTTGTATTTTTGGGTATTTTCTTGATCTATGGTATGATGATGATGATGATTATTATTTAGGAGGTTTTAGTTCATTCTGGTTTCGTTCTGCCCGTGTAAAGTCTGTGTTTCTTTGTCTACGTCTTTGTGAATTGTTTCCTGTTTTATTGTGAAAGGTTGTGCCTCATGTCAGTGTGTCTAGCTTTGCTTTTGCTTTTTTAGCTTTTTGTCCCAGCAATAAAGCTGCGCTTTAAGTTTGACTTCCGTGTTGAGTCCTGCATTTTGGGCCCACCACTCCTGCCTGCCTGCCACACAGCCAACCCTGACAAGAAGCTTAGATTATACTCAGTTGCTGACACAGACATAGAGAGCTGGAGGTCCGACAGCAGTGGTGTCCAAACCCAGGCCTCGAGGGCCGGTGTCCTGCAGGTTTTAGATGTGTCCATCACAGCTGATTTAAATGGCTAAATGACCTCCTCAACAAGTTTTCCAGAGGCCTGGTAACGAACTAATCATTTGATTCAGGTGTGCTGACCCAGTGTGATCTAAAACCTGCAGGACACCGGCCCTCGAGGCCTGGAGTTGGCCAAGCCTATTCTACAGCCATCAGGGTTATCCTTGGTTATGGTTGTACCCCTTGAAGTTTACTGCAGCATCACTGGGAGACAAGTGAAGACTGGCAGACAATTTCAGAAGATGGATGGATGGATGGATGGATGGGTGGATGGATTGGTGGATGGATGGATTGGTGGATGGATGGATGGGTGGATGGGTGGATGGATGGATGGGTGGATGGATGGATTGGTGGATGAATGGATTGGTGGATGGATGGGTGGATGGATGGATGGGTGGATGGATGGATCGATGGATGGATGGATGGATGGATCGATGGATGAATGGGTGGATGGATGGATTGGTGGATGAATGGGTGGATGGATGGGTGGATGGCACCACAGAGGTCCGGTTCAGGGACTGCAATGACCTGAGGAGTCTAGCAGACAGCTAATGGCTCTTAATGGATAACTTTAAGCCTTAGAACATTTTAAACAGAAGCGTTATAAAAACACTCCTGTACAGTTTTTATAAAGGGGGAGATTAGCTATAGAGACCAGCTGTAAACAGTCTGTGGAGACTGATTCACTTACACTTGGTTTGCACTTTGTATTTTCAGCCCTGCGTTTGCCATCGATGAGATAATCAGGGGAAAAGTCTGCCAGCATCTGAATGGAGATTTCTGGAAACTGTTTAATCTAAATGTAAAATCTGACCAGAAGTATTATGATAATAATTTTAATTTAAACTGGCGGCTTAAAGGATGAATTTATAACTGAAAAACCTAGTCTGAGGCCTTTTAATAGATAATAATTAATAATCCATTTCAAACGAACTGTAACCTTCATGTTGCTGCGTTTAAAATCACTCTGGAGTTTTTGTTCACCTGTTGTTGTGGTGTGTTTTTGTGGGTCTGCGTTACACAATGAAGGTGAAAGTCTTTTCCGTGTACCTGAACACTACGCGGGGAGGTGCTGACAGCAGACGGGAAGAAGGAAAGAGGAAGGAAATGGAAATTAGCTCGTCGGCAGTGTCTACCTGCTGACAGGACATCTGACATCTCACTGCGCCGCCACCAGGACTTGAAACTACCTCTATTACCCGCCTGAGCTCGGTGACACACTACACACAGAGGCTGCTAAAACTTTAGAGCAAAGTGGGGAACAAGGACAGAACAGTATTTATGAAGCAGGTTGGAGGCTGGAGAGCCGATTTCACATGATGTTTGTGTGGAGGAATTAGGGGGAGGAGGCACCATGGTAACAAGGAAGCTGGTGCTGCTCTTATCTATGGAAAAGGTCCGTCTTTACCTGTAAGGTTCACACCAACACGCTTCATGTGGTTTGCATTCATGAAAAAGTAAGAAAATGCTCTGGATGTCATCGCTTCATCAGGTAGTGGACTTCTGCTTACACTAGAGCCCACCACCATGAAGCCCACTGTGACACAGCCACAGAAGACTGGGGTGCAAACTCCAGGTCGGGAATGAGTTGCTGCTCCAAGTGCAGGAGATCAAATACTTCAGGATCTTGTTCACAAGTGAGGGGAGAGCGGAGTGAGCGACTGATAGATGCATAGATATGTGAATGTCAGATGTGACGAAGAGAGAGACGTGATAGTGAAGCTTGCTGGTCAATCTGCGGTCCTACCCCCACCTATGGTCATGAAGGCAGATAGAGGTGGATGGAAATAAATATCCTCAGAAGCGCAACTGGACTCCTAGACTGCTGCCCGGTTAAGAGATGAAACTGGAAACCCACAAAACTCCTATACCAAATAAGTGAAGGACCAAATCCCCACCAGTAAAGTGTACATTTTAGGACATCCTCAGGTCTCAGGAAAAAAGTCGTCAGGTCTCTGAGACCTGACGACTTTTTTCCTGAGACCTGACATTTTTTTGTCTGAGACCACTTCCCAGTTTTACTTCTGAAACGGTGCCTCTCTAAGGCTCCTTTTATATCCAATCACTAACCTGCTGCCAATGAACCTGATTGGCTGCAAATGTTCCTCCAGCTGTTTCTTTTTAGGACCACTTACCTTTCCTGCCTTTTGTTGCCTACCACGATCTCTCCAGCAGTGAAAATAACATGAATAATTTAAAAAAATGTAAAATTTAATTTGGATAATTCCAGAATTCCAGAAATCACACATGCAGTAGACTGAGTTTCCCCACTTCTTTTCATAGGAAGTTTAAATCCCACATTAATGAAGATAACTGGAATATTTTGAGGAATATTTCTATTTAAACATCATAATTTGCTGTTAATCTAATTAAAAGCATATTGGAAGGAGAAGAGGAGGTGGCAAAGTGGAGAAAATGAGCAATAAAAAATTCTGAATGATTTAAATAATTTCCTTTGATGGGTACAGGATATTATACATACACAGTGTGGAAGGACGAGACGCACGGGCGTGTTTATCAAAGGAAACGTGTGATCACAAGTCTAATGTGCCAAAAAGCCCAAACACGCTGCAGGATCTGAACATTGTTTCGATCTTCTGGTTAATTAAAAACGCAGTAATTAGCTGAATGATGACTTTGAAATAAAGGAGATAATTTGAAGTGAATGAGGAGGCTGTTACCAAGCTGGGAGCTGAAAAATGGGGGGAAAGGGAATCTGGCATTGAAAGTAAAGCTCTGAGGTTTTTGTATTCAGCCTTCAGCAGACGACACCAACAGCCATCTCTGAATTATGCTGTTAACACTTGTCAGCTCAGTTAATTGGCTGGGTCGCTGCTTTAAGATTGATACTGGGAGAGCAGAGTGAGCAATTAAAAAGGAAAGATAATTTAAAACTATAAAAAAATAAACCTGTAACCAGTTGGCAAGAGCGGGCAAGTCGGGAGAAGTCGCGGCTCTGGAGATGTCGGTATTTTGTGACTGAACACAATCCCAGCTGCGGTGGAGGGTGCTGTCATTTTCTCTTTTCACCTCCAATCATTTCAATTTTACTTCCAGCATGGAAAGTTGCCCACGCTCGCCGATCCCCGTCAGAGGGGAGAAAAAAAGCCAGCCGCTGGAGAGAGGCGGCAACAAACCCACTCAGCTTGTGTTTGTATCACACATATAAATGGTTTCCATCAGAACAAGTACACAGGACGGGGCTCTTTAACTTATCTGCCTTTTTGTTCTCTGTGCAGCCCGTCCCGCTGTTTTGGTCCAAAATCAGCCGTAATTAAAGCAACATCATCAAAACTCAAAGCCGACATGGCGAGAAAACTTTTCCAGAGGAAACCAAGCTTGGTAGCTCGGTAGTTTTTGGCGCGCTGTGATGTAAATGATGCTTTAAAGGAGCTCATTTGTGTTCTTTTCAGAACAACATTTAAATCGAGCTGAGATTTTATCCAAACTGATGCAGACGTGTCGGGAGAAACGGTTAAAGCAACGAGCTAAAGAGGTTAGCACAGACGTCGCTATTGCCCCAGTTAGACCAGAACAGCACAAAGCATAAAAGATGGCTGCAGGAGGCCGTAAGTCTTTGTCAAAGGAGTCCAACATGAGTGGAAGAGTCAGCGAAGCTCACTTCTGTCCGATGACAGTGATACTGAGGTGGGGCGTGGCTGTTTTATCTAACGTTGTTGGAATGAAACTGAATAAACTCTCATATCATGGGGAAATGTATTCAAACTGGTTATCAGAGGGAAAGTTTGATATTTAAGGGCCTCACAGCTAACACTACCCGGTTTAACCAGCTGTTGTGTAGCCGGCTCTGGTCAGCTGTCTGGAGATGGGAGGGTCACATGTCTAATCTGCTGGCAGTAAGTAATCCTGACAATATCGGGATTGAATGAGCGTGTTCATGTGTTACAGTCAGCTTCAAACTAGCTGCCAAAACAGCATAAATAAGTATTTGAAAAGCTAAAAACAAAATTCTAAAACTGAAAAAACCCAAAACAAATGTAATCGATAAAAATAAAAAAATATTGAGGGATGCTTGAAAAAAGGCTAATTGATTGACAGCTGGCAGCTTGTTTCTATTCTTGGACTCTACTAGAGTAGCTTTGCATGATTCCCTGCTTCAGTCTCTTGATCCATCTGGTGTCTGAAACAAGCCGTCTTAGTTTCATTAAAAGCCATTCTACCTTTAAGCCACCTTACTCCGGATTGGCTGCCTCTTGTAAACAAAACAATGAACAATGTAATTTACTCCAATCTAAACTAGTCTGAAAACTGACTTATATCTAATGATTGGACCTCATCTATCAAAAGCACGAGTTCACATTTCCTCAGGGCCCCATTGGTTCTGCCCTGTTTCACAGCACAGGAAGTCGGGAACGATGGACTTCCTGCTATCAGAAGTTCACTGATGGAGAAAGTTTGTGTCACGTGCTCTGAATGTCTCGTGTGACTTACCTCGTTGACGAACACCCAGTGACTGTCTTTGGAGGCCAGATTTGTTTCCACTGCCTGCAGACACACAGAGACACAGAGATGAGGGGTTAATAACGAGGCCCGCCCAAAGCCGATTTAATCACACGCCGCTTCTCAGAGGCTGACGCAGCATTTTATCACACTTCAGGTTCAGCAGCCAGATCTTGCAGTGTGGCCTCCGAGGAGCAGCTGCTGTACCGACACCACAGCTGCCTCGTCTGCCTTTGTTCTCGCCCGTGTCATTGCGGTGTGCACGTTTGAAAAGTTCAAGTCGGCCTCCTCCCCTTCGTCTTCCTCCTCCGCTGTCACGGCTCGTCCTGCCAAAATGTCGAGCAACAGAGGCTTTTGAGAAAGCGAGTGGTTTGCACTTAGCAAAGGCCCCGGAGCTCGGCCGGTCCTCTTCCACCATGTGATAATCCTAATAACACGCAGCATCCTACAGATGACAGCACAAAGTGGAGCAGAGCTCAGTCCTGCAGATCAGCCTGGACCAGCTGGAACATGTGCACAGAGGCAGCTGCTAATAATGCAAACGCCCCCAAAACATGACAGAACTGTGGAGTTATCTCAAATAACGACGCGATATCATGAAGAAGAAGTAAAATCACTGTAAAACACCCATAATGCTCATTGCTTCATGATTCAGTTTTAAAAATAAACCTTTATTCTCCCTGAGTGACGCTTAATTCTGACATTTACACTTGGCTCCACCCGAGATGGTTGAACAGCAAACCCTGTATTGTCTCAGAGGTGAAAGGTTGATGGAGGCAGGGATGTATCTGAGTGCGTGCCCACATGGCGCCGCACGCCAGCATATGGTCTGACTGCAGAGCCGTGTGGGTGTTGTTCTGCCTTCTGGCTCCATGTTTAGAAGCAGCATATTTAAACCAACGATCTCACAGAGTCGTTAGCTAATGATCGAAATTATATGAAGTAAAAAATTATATTTCACAGTGATAATAAAAGAACGAAAGGAAACATCTGGTCTGAAGTATGACTGAACACACACGTGCTGTACGTCTCAAAATGTGATCGTGCTACTGAATGAAAAATGAAATGAGAACATTCCTGGTTTATTCTTTTTATTAATGCTTCGTAACAAATATCATAGTTTGTTGGCCGAAGAAAAACTGCTGCTGTATCCTGATAAAGCTTTGAGTGTTTATCTGCGTAGGTCTTCAGTCCAGGTCACACTAGTCCTGAGAAGAACTGGACTTCTTTAAGTTTCACCTCTCATCCAATCAGCTTCTTCAGTCCGAGGTATTCAGCCTCTCGTGGGGGTTGTCCTCTGAAGCCATCGATGTCCACTGAATGCCTACCAGTGACCAGACGTGGTGGCTTACGACACCAGCGATCAGCCACTGAATCCCTCCCCAGGTGCTTCAGCCTGAACAAGTCTAGTTGCCTCCTGTAGGGAGTGCAGAGGTGTTCACCACCTCAATGGAAAGCAGCTGTCAAAAAGTTGCGTGTTTCATTACACACCAAGCGTGCCTCAAAAAATGGCACGAAGTTCACATTTTTTTGAGATGCAAAAAAAAATAAATAAAAAAGAAATCGTTGAGCTTCTGCAAATAAATCGTCTCCAAAAAACACTGAAAAAAAATGAAGTCGATATCAAATGATGAAGAGCTGGTGCTGATGTTTCTGAACAAGATCAATAAGTAATATTGGGAAAAAAAACAAAAACTAAAAAATGCCGCAAAATCTTACAGCATAATTATGCAGTCATTGCAAACGGCCGAGCCCGAAAAAGTCTGGTGTGTAATGGCCTTCTTGGCTAAGTTGGGGGGACCACCAAACATTTTTAAAGCACTTTTCAGAGGATAGCCAAGAGCTAGCTAGCAGTAAACAGCCAGCTAGCAGTAAACAGCTAGCTAGCAGTAAACAGCCAGCTAGCAGTAAACAGCTAGCTAGCAGTAAACAGCCAGCTAGCAGTAAACAGCTAGCTAATTTTTCAGCCATTCAAAAGATATGTTGCTAAAAAAAATCACATATCTCATCAAATGCAACAAAGAGCACAGAAGATTATATTTTTAAATAGATATAAACACAAATTTTTATCATGTTACCTATGCTAATGCTAATATGTCTGCATGTAGCATTCTAAAAGCCTGTACCTGACTGCAGTGGTGATTCACTGATATCACCTGCTGCCTGAAGCCTTTTCAGACCTTTTTCACGTGTCACATCAGGTAATTTCATTTCCAGTGGCTCCGTTCCAAGAGGCTAACCGTCAGGCATGATGATGAGCCAGCATGCCTGAAACTAGCTCACCTGAATGGGGAACGGTGCCAAACCTGCCTGCTGTTCAAAGGCTCTGCGTGCTGGATTCCTGTCATAGCTCCGAGCTACACCTGAATACAACAGAGCCATCGCTCATTCATCATTAGCATTTTACAGACATCCTCTAATGAGCAGGACCAAACCTCGTGACAGATTCTAACAAAACCAAACTGTGTCCAGTCCTGACTTTGGGAACAAATACCTGAGACGAGGCATTTGAAACAGGTTTTCCACATTATCCATATTCAGACAGTGGAACGCAGCCAGGAAGCTGGTGGAGTCAGAAGAAGAATCTGTGTTTGGGATATTACATCACTGAGTGCATTCACTTCACACACACAAACACACACACTAAACAAGAGTATTCCCACACAGCGTTCGGCCATGAATATCAGTTCGTGTCACGTCTTTGCTCTCTGTCCTCGGGGCTCGGACTGACAGATGTTTTCTAACAGGTTCCGCATTCGGCTTCCAGATCAACAAACGCTGACACACTCGTGAAGCTCCACACAAGCAACAACCTCGAGGATAAACAGCTCGTGAACTGCATGTCCACAGAGCTAACGCGCACAGACGTTTTTAGAAAGAAGTGTTTTTCCCACATTTTATTTGTGCACATCTGCTATGAGCAGATACACCAGTCAGCTGCACGATTCATGTGCAGAGCGAGTGAGGCTGATCGCCATGTGACAACACGGCGTTCTGCAGGGCGTTCTGCCCTTCATGTGGCATACATCTCATTGCACCCCACCCACCTTAAAGACTTACAACCAAATAATGAATGAGAAGTCAATACTGATGCTATGTGAAGTGATGGAAACCAGTTGGTGTGTGTACATGATGTCAGGTTAACCTATAGCAAAGGCCACAGCACCTGTTCTCATAACACACCTCACATCTCCCACGTGGAGATGTCACCATAACCTTTATTGGACCTGGATAGAGTGCGAGCGTTCTCACGCACGCCTCGATCGCCTCTGTCCTCCCATCCAACTCCGTCCTTCCTCGCTGGTGTTATTTAGATTCTGCCTCTGGGTCCTTACTTCCTGCTCGGTCATTAAAATGCAGCCCACATTGCCCTCTGGTTTATTTTCTGCTACTGTGGGCACAGAAATTGGTTATCAACAACAATTACCCGTCAACCCTGAAGGTAAAAACATGTATATTGTAGCTTTTAATGACGAGTGTGGGTGAAGAGGGGAGCTTGCAGAAACACGATGAAGCAAAGGCTGAGAAGAAAATAAGAGAATAAAAATGTATGGAGTGGAATTAATTCACGATATAAGAACTGGCAGAACATGCTGACCTTGTTATTCCCGACGGACTCGCCGTGCACCGTTCATATAATTGCATTATCCAAAATATTTCTTACATCAATCTCGCTATTTTTTAAGAGCCGTCTTCGGTGAGTTTGGCTGCCGTTCAGATGTAATAAATTTATGCTTTTAACTCACGGCGAGAATGGACAGCTGAATAACATGGAGGCTGCGAGTCTAACCAATCAGAGAGGAGTTTCAAAATTCAAGCTGCGTTCCACACTCACATTCCACCATTAAAGTTTCTCAGCATCCTTGAGACCAAATAATTGGCTTTTCTATGTTTCTTTACTCATAAAACATTTGTGAAAGCTATTTTTGGGGTTTCTTTTTTCTGTCTGGCTGCCAGAAGCCATCTTCTTCCTGTTTTTGGCAGTTTGCTGCACATCTTGGCACAACTGTAGATCGCTGGAACAGTGTCGTCGGCAAAGTGTGCCTCACCACAACACAGGAACACTGATACTAAGCCTTAAAAACACAGATCCATGATGGCGTCTTTAAGTGTTTAAAACCTGCACGAAGCTGCTGTGTTTAACCCTCCTAAGAAAATCAAACAGAGTTGGATTTTTCTTTCTTTCGGTCACTTAAAATATTTCCCGTCTCACAGATGCTCGGATGGAGGGTGATCATATCGTAACATTGTGGATAATGAGTCCAGTGTAATTAAAAGCTCAGTTTTTTCTATTCTTGACGTCAAACGGCAATCAGATTAAAGCTGTTTAAGTGCCCCGCCCCTCGGTAGGCTCTTTTATGGAAGCCTGTTTCCACCACTAAAAAAAAAAGGATCCATAACTCAAAATTTCGAGTTATTTTCTCGAAATTTCGAGTTACTTTTTCAAAATTTCGACATATTAACTCGAAATTTCGACTTATTAACTCAAAATTTCGACTTATTAACTCAAAAATTTGAGAAAAGTAACTCGAGTTAGCGCTGCCAATCAGTAATCTACGTGAATGACGTAATTTCCTTGTTACCCGGAAGCTGAAGCCTCAGCTACAAATGCTACAGCTAAGCTGCTGGTATTACATCCAGTCGTGAATGCACAGATTGCTGAGTGTTTTCAGCCTGGTTTCACAAATGATGAAATCCCTGTGTTATTCGCTGAATCACACGGTGTTACTATCAGCAAACGTACTCGCGAAAGCGCCAATTTGTTGGGATCCGTTTTTGAGTGCGCGTTCCTCTGCGCCATATGCTTCCGGGTAACAAGAAAGCGACCTTATTCACGTAGATTTTTGTTTGGCAGAGCTAATTCGAAATTTTGAGAAACTTTTCTCGAAATTTGTTTTTATTTAGTGGCAGAAACGGGCTTCCATACTCTTTAGACCAGCAGGATAAACACAACAACATAAAATGATACGACCAAGACAAAAACTGTGGTATTCTGTAAATATGATAATAAACGTGAATTTACTGTGTAACTGTGCAACTTTATT